CACACACACACACACACACACACACACACACACACACACACACACACACACACACACACACACACACACACACACACACACTTGTTGTACAGCACAGAAACACAAACATGGAAGTATTTAATTGGGATAAAATTACAAACATTACTATTTCTACTGTGCTCTGAGGAATCAGAATCCATCCAGGTTAAAATAAATAATTTTAATTGAATGATTTCAAGAGATTTTTTAACTGAGTAATAAAAACAAACATTAAATCACTTTGTCTTGTCTGTAGCATAAGCACTTTACAGAAGACATCCAGACAAGACAGTATCGTTCTATAGAAGTCCTGATAGGAGCTGGTTACGGTACTCCAGCTGACATCTGGAGTACTGCCTGCATGGTGAGGAATACTTCTTAAACTGTGTATAAATATGTATGTAGTATTTCTGTTTTATTGTACTGATAATGTCTTGTGTTAGGCTTTTGAGCTGGCCACAGGAGATTATCTGTTTGAGCCTCACTCAGGAGAGGACTACTCCCGTGACGAGGGTGAGGATTAACTCTGTATTTTGGCATATTTTCAAAGTTATGAAACTGATGATCTTTTAATGTTTATTAGTCTAAAGTATTTTTATTGCGCAAACAATGTGATGATTTTAAGAAGGAAAAAGCATTAGCTGCATGCCTAAAGCAAAATGTCTTACATGATTTAAATTGGCTCCAGAATTTTTCTCTGTGTTTTTGATGAAAGTTTAGAAATGAACCAGGAGATTTATTGATTCTTAGTAACATAAAGAGAGACATCAACATACTGTACCTTCCCAGTAGAAACACAATGAACACTGGGAATATTTTTGAACACATTTTTATTAGTTTTGGAAACATCGACATCAGTTATTTCTTGTGTGAGATTTTATCTTTTGCAAATTGGAATTTATATTATTTTCTCATCAAATGTTAATCTGAACAATGGAGAAAATGTTTGAAACAAAAAATGTGACCCATGCTGGCAAAATGAGTCAGAATGAAGACATTTTTATAAAGTTATTGTTTTCCATCTCAGAAGCTTCATAGCAACATATTTTGTTGAAATTTAGTGATTTATCAGCTGGCTAGCAACTAGCTAGTTTTGTTTTCGAGAGTACAGCTTTGAAAACGTTTTATTTGTATTCGTCTGAAGTGATTTTGTGAATTCCAGCTGTAGATTTAAAGAGGAGCTTCACAACGACGCCAAACATTATACGAAGTGACGTTCCAGTGCTACAGCAGCCGGCAGAGAAAAATAGTAATTTTTAAAAACCTAATAATTAAAAAGGATAATTTCTGTACCAGAAAACTTCTACTTAAATGTAGATTTAGACTGTGCCCAAATTCAGGAACTGGGTCCTTCGAAGGACCTGGTCTAGGTGGGCCGGGTCCTTGGTTGACCGTGAATTTGGAAGGTCTATCCTCCTGCTTTATTCCTGCCCTTAACCCAGCATGTGTCCTCTCACATAGCAACCGTGATCTAAACAGAAGCAAAAATAGATTGAAATTTAGCAAAATATCAATATATTAGTATTATCAATATCATAAAACAACAAAATGAGCTTAAAGGCAATATTTGAAGAACTAATGGACATGGTACATGGTAGGTGCATGTTTATTTCACTGTGCCAACTCCTTTGATTTCTGACAAGAGTCATAATAAAAACATGTTCATACACATTACAAAAGTATTAACAACACAACCGCTTGAAACTTCTCGTTTTTATACCACCAGATTTTTATATTTAAAACCGTACTCCTTTCTCTCACTTCGTCCGTCATTACGAGCAGAAAACAAATCTCTGATCGGCCCACAATGCATTATGGGATATGGTGGGCAGAGAAGGATCCATCGGATCCGTCCCTCAAATCTAGGAAACATTTGTTGTTCGCATGGAAGGAGACTGTGGACAGCCTCCGACGCGGCGCTGTGATGCAAGCGACTGAGCAGCCCCTGAATGTAGACACAGCCTTAGTTGTTGGATGTTTATAGACTCTTTTTTTATGCAAATCTTAATTAAAGCCATATTTTTCCTGTAGCCTGTTTTCATTCTGACTCATTTTGCCAAAATGAATCACACAAAAACTGATTCTATATTGTAAGTTGATGAAAGCCCCTAAAGCTCAGTTCAGCCATCCTCCTCCTCCTCAAATCCTCCTATCCTCTGCCAACTGTCACTTTAAATTCTGCTGCTGTGCCTCCATCTTTATTCTGTTGTTCACTAAATCATCAACTGTTTAAATGTTAAAGATACTCAGAAAGCTTGATTTTATTTCTGTAAAACGGCACAAGGTGTAAAACGGTCACACTTTGTCATTCACACCTACAAGCAGGAGGAGCTGCAGAGTTTCTGAACATATTTGTAGTTTTTTAGGTCACAGGCAGCCGTATCTTTACATCTGCACACAGACTGTCATCACCAACTAAATCTGCTGCAGACCCCGACACATCCTCCTCACCTCCCTCCCACTGATGGCTTCATCTCCACTGCTCTTTGATCTGGCTCAGCTCATTGTGGTGTCTGTCTGACTGCATGTGGCACACAATTAACTCCTGCGCCGACGTCAACTCACTTGTATCCAAACATCCCAATTTACAGAGAGCCATCTTTGATCTCCCTCCACATCCAGTCGTTCATTCCAAAGCTTTTGAGCAGAATCTGACTGCATGTGGCTTTTATTCCTCTCATTTCTTCATCTCTCCTGTGGAGGCACAGCTTATTAACGGGTTACAATCTGTGACTGTTTCTCTTTTTTCTCTTCCCTCTCTTTTTATCCCTTCCTCTCACAATGTTTTATCTTTTTATCCCTGTTTCACCCTTTTTCCTTCATGCAATCTCTCATTTGTTTCGTTTCATTCTCTCCACTTTTTAATTTCTGCCTTTTTTTATTAAACTGTCCCCCTCTTCCTTTTCTTTTCTTTTTGTTATCCTATTCCCCTTTTCTTCTCCTTCCTCCTCTCCGTAGACCACATAGCCCACATCATAGAGCTACTGGGCTGTATTCCGAGGCACTTTGCGCTCTCTGGAAAATATTCCCGGGAGTTCTTCAACAGAAGAGGTAGTGCTGTCCGCAGAGCTGCCGGGGCTGAGACACACAGACGTCCAAAAGGGACAGAAATGAACACAAGCAGATGGTTTAATGTGCACTGATTTGCTTTAAATTGAATCTAATAATGAATGGGTGTTAAAAACTGAGAAGAAAGTTCTCTCTGCATTAATCCTGAGTCTGTAAGTGTGTCCATGCAGAACCTTGAGGCGTCAGTGTGTGTCAGCGCTGTACAGCCAGTTGAAGTGTGTGTGTGTGCATGCTGTAATGTGCCTGTTCCCTTTGTGACGTATGTGATGGTGGGCAGACCACATCGCTCTGATCACGGAGCTCCTTGGAAAGGTCCCGCGCAAAGTGGTTGCTGCCGGGAAGTTCAGCCGAGAGTTTTTCTCCAAGAAAGGTAAAAACAGAACCCTGACTCGTGGCTGCTTGGTGGGTTTAAGTCTTGATCTCTTCCTGTCTTGGTGTCAAATCTGCGAGTCCCAGCAATGATAGGAGCTGAAGCAAGTGTTTTTATATAAAGTACTTGTAGGAGGTGAGCTTAAGGTGGCATTAAGCTTTTTGCACACACTGGATGCAGCTTTCACACACTCAGGTGAGTTTTCTGTCACAGCTGAAAATCATGTTAAAGCCCCCTTCACTGGATGGTGACACCACAGAGACAGAAACATGATCAGCCAGAACATGGGTGGTCTTTGCAGGGTCTTGGTGAGGTTCTCAGACTCTATTAACAACACAGTGGGCTTGATAGAGCGTGATCCACGATGGTTCAGGCTGTGATGGTGGGTTGCACAGACTGGACCCTTATGGTGCATTCACACCGAACGCGATTTCAGCGTCAAAATCGCAGCCAACGCTGAAGTTTGAAGCTTGTGCACTTTGAGGTCAGACGCAGGACACCTGCGCTGCACGGCGACAGCCGCCCCGCCCCTCCCTCCTCTGTGGGGCTGTTTAATGTCGGACGAGGAAGTGGCTTTGCTTTATTTACAGACAGCCAGAACGTGTCACGTTCATCAGATAATTAATTCATAATTAATTCACCAGATAATTCAGAGAAGAGGCTCACAGCTCGCTTTCAGGACTATTTTTTTCAGTCTGATGAGTCGCTGCCACGCATTGCTGCGGATCAGGACACGACTGCAGGCACTCATTTCAGCTAAAGAGCAGGAGCTCTGTCTGTTTCAGGTTAGTGGACATCATTCAGTAAACTGTCCCGTCGGGAAATATGTCACTACGTCACACAGTGGAGTCTCTCTGATTGGTTGACGCTGCGCGTCGAGCTGCAAAAGTTCAGATTTTCTAACTTCAGCGATTTGGACGATTTGAACGATCTGAGCGTCGAACGCTCAGATCGTTCAAATCGTCCAAATCGCGCTGCTCTAATCGCGCTTGAGGCGCCGCAGAACTTCCCGACGTTGCTTGAAGCGCGTCCACCATAGACTTTGTATGTAAACCTGCTGCTCCTGACGCTGAAATCGCGTTCGGTGTGAACGCACCATTAGAATTTGGACTTTCAAGTTCAGCACCTCCCACACTTACTGTTCTTCCTGAGATTCACAGCATGATAAGTCCACATAGCTTCACCCCTGGTTTAAGGAGAAGGGGGTCTCTGAGGTCACTGAGGATGGATTTCTTGTTTTATGGGTGTAGTTTGTTAAAGATGTGATTGGTTGGAGTGAATATTTTGGGTGGGGTCTGAGGAACTTGGTCTAAACAGCCAGGAAGCACCTGTATATTTAGAAATAAAGATAACTTGAGACAAGAAGGGGCTTGCCCCACAAAATGTGATCACTGTACATGTGGAGGGCTGAGTAACACTTATGCTCAGTCAAAACAGCCAACCTGTCTGGTGAAAGCCATTTTTTATAAAAATAATCATTTTAGACATAAATCGAGACAGGAGGGTGCAGGCTGCATGAAATTACAAGTCATTAAATATTTACATGTTCACAATAATTTTACCATCACTTCCTCTTTTAAGTTGCCCCTCAAGACAAGCCCACCCAAGCTCCGCCTATTTCAGACTCTGTCCATCACAATTAGGACAAACTCCGCCCACACAACAAGAAACTCTCCCATTTTATTCAGAATATTTATGTTTGTGACTTTAAATCTAAGTGAGCTGCTGCTGCCCATCTGTTTCCAGTTAAAGGGCCTGAGGTAGTTCAGCCTGCCTACACAGGAGATGAGTTTAGTAACGCTTCTGTTAGATCAGCTCTACATGTTCTGAGCCTCCTCACAGACCAATGTTTTACTGGACTTTTTGTTTTTTGTCTCATTTAAATATGGTGTATCTCAATCACAGCTGAAGTCTTCATCTCTACGGTGTGTATCTGCATCTACAGAAGGCTTCATGTCTGTTTTATTTCAAACATCCTAAAACCTCCAACGTTTTGACTGATGAAGCAAGATTTATGAAAACCAAATCTTTCAGAGCTTAAACATTTGAATTTTAGTGCATTTTATTCACATTCTGTTTATCTTTAGTATGTGAAAGAAGCCTTTGAGGGCAGGACTGTGAAATGTTAAAGATTCTCAGCATCAAGTGAGTCTGACTCAGATCTGAATGGGAAAAACTGCATCCAAGCCTGCAGAATAATTTGACTGGACAATGTGAGTTTTTTTTATAAAATAGTTCTTGATTTGTCATAGTAGCAGCTCTTTAAAAGATTTGAAAAATAATTTCTTTAAAGTTGAGTTTAACAGGTAGCATGAGTCACATGCTGCTATTAATGATACCAAAAAGGAAATTGAACAAAGATTTACATTTAAATTCTTCCTACAATACAAATACCTGAAAGCTTTATTACATTCCAGTGAAATCATCTACCCTCCATCATTTTAGGTTTTTATTCTCCTCTTCTTTCTGCTCATGTATTCTTCATGACGCGTCATGAGAGCTAAGTCTTGTGTCTTTGCTGCTGTCTCTATCTGAGGTGTGAGGGTGTGCTTGATGTCTCAATGTTGCTCCTTTTATCTCCTGCTGCTGTGTTCATCTGAGCTGACTTTCTCCTTCTGCCTCTCGGGCCTTCTGTCTGCCAGAAAGCCTTCAGCTGTGCTTCTGAACGCCTCGTCACACTTTTTCTTTCATCTGCACTGATTTTGGGCTTTTTAAATTATTTTTTAGGAGTTACGTTGATCGGAGATGTAACGCCTGGAGAAAATAGCGTTTGCAAGAACGCTAGCTCAAAGATTGTTTGCAACAGTTTGCTGCAATAATTTTGATGAACGTATTTCTTTACAAAGTTCTTCCAGCACCCAGGTGGACCTTTGGTTTCAGCAGCTTCCCTCAGAAATGAAGCTTTCTTCTCTGTCGTGGATGGATTTCCAGCCAATCATATCCCTCCTCTCTTCAAAAACAAACACTTCATTTGTTTGATCTTTCTCTAGTTTTCTGCCTATTTCTGTCCATCTCCCTTCTGTTGTTGAGGTTTGCAGTGAAGTTTTCGGAGCAACTCATAGATTTACAAATGCTTAAAAATAAAGAGGTTATATTATTAGTTAAACCAGCTTCTGATTGTGTGGGGAGTGCAGGATCATTTCATCCAGGTGTTTTTAATAAATGCAATTCTGCTTCCTGTGGGATCTGTACGTGTTGTATCCTGACAGAAAAGGATTTTAAAGCAACAGTTTCTTATATTGGTGTGTGTGTGCGTGTGTGCGTGTGCGTGCGTGCGTACGTGCGTGCGTGTGTGTGTGTGTGTGTGTGTGTGTGGACGGGTTTTTCCTACAATGTGGGGTATTTTTTACAAAAAAAAAGCAGCCAGGTGGGGACCGAAGTGAATCGTGGGGACCATTGTCAGGTCCCCACAGGTCCAAATGCATGTTACAGGTGTGTGTTTAGGTTTAGGACCAAGGTTTAAGTTAGTTTTAGGGTCAGGTAAGTTTCTGTGAGGTTAATTTTAGAGTATATGGTCAGGGTTAGGCTATAAAAGCTAAAAAACATGAATGGAAGTCAATGGAAGGTCCCCACGGGGTTGAGAAACAAACATGTGTGTGCGTGCGCGTGTGTGTGCGCGTGTGCATGCGTGTGTGTGTGTGTGTGTGCGCGCGTGTGTTTAAGAGCAAACATGGACTTGTGGAAAGTTTTGGGAAAATTTATAAAAACTATTTATTTTAGTCGATGATGATCCATTAAATGAAACTTCAGTTGAAGCGTAAATATGAAGCTCATCACCTGCTGTCATGAAAGACCAGCAGCCATGGTGTTGTGTTCAGCAAAATATCTCATGCAGATCTGAGAACATAATCATCGGATGTAATGTACCTTTACAACTGATTAGCTGTCAACCCGAGTAAAGATGGACGCCACCCAACACATACTTCACGTGCTAACAATCGTTTTGGGTAAAACTTTGACATGAAAGGCAGCAGGCGTTCTTTAGGTGCTTTATTTGTTGGAAATTGTAAAATATGGAACATCAGCTGATTCCTGCAGTAAAATGATTGGTGGTACTGATGTTCACTCATATTTAACTAGTTTCAGGATGAATAAATGAAACTATTTTTTTTAATTTGCACAGGGCAAACATAAGGTTAACTCTTTATGTTGTAGAGAACTTGGTGATAATTTTACCTCCTTTTCATTTTTGATAGCATGATGCTGTATATATATTATACTAGAGAAAATGCATTTTTGTGACACTGTGATTAGAGTCAGGCAGGACAAGTAATGTTTTATTTTTATGATGAATAAATCTGTGAAAAGTGCAGCTTTTTTTCACTAAATGATGACATAAATTATTTAGCTGAGCTAATCAGACCCATTTGTTTTTTTCTTTTTTCCCGGTCACTGACTCTGCTCTCGCCCCCTGCAGGTGAGCTGCGGCATATAACCAAGCTGAAGCCATGGTCCCTGTTCGACGTGCTGGTGGAGAAGTACAACTGGTCACACGAAGACGCGGGCCACTTCACTCAGTTCCTTCTGCCCATGCTAGAGATGGTCCCCGAGAAGAGGGCCTCAGCTGGAGAATGCTTAAATCACCCCTGGCTCACATCATAGCTACAGACTGAGTAGTTTCCCTCCTTCCTCTTGTTCTCCACCTTTCAGCCTGAGCGTCGCCCTCTGGTGGCAGTCAGTGATACAGCAGCCGTAAAGAAAAGCTGGAAACCACGAGTCAGAAACAATGAAAGATTTCCCTCCTAACACATCCATTACATCCCACCTGGCTTTACTCCTTCATGTCTTTTACCAAGAGGAATGTTCCAATGAGCTGAAGGAAGAAACAAAGCATACCATTTGTTTCTTCCTACAGGAAGAAAGAGGGAGGGGGGATGAAGGATGGATGGTGCTCCACTGGTTTTGTCTGGCGAGAATCCTGCTTTTGTTGTCAATATATCTTACATCTGTATTTTTCCTGAATCCTAGTAGAACTTGTTTGGTTTCAGTTATCAAACCAATGCCAGCTGCTGACCTGCTCAGTATTGTGACTGAAGAGTGGACAAGCAGCTTTGTTGCACTGCAGGACGGCCCACAACTCCATCTTCCACAAACAACAGGGGTCTCAAAGACAGATGAATGTGTGTTGTTGTGTGTGAGGATCAGCATATGTGCCTGTGCTCAAGATCTGCCTCTATACATCCTAGCTCCAGCCCTCTCTCTCATACATCAGATTTAACGTTTACACTATGTTTTCTTCCAACAATCCAGTCCCAAGGCAAACTCGTCTCCCCCTCAACATGTTCTTTGGTCTTATCGAGGATCGCTACAAAAAAAAAACTGTGGGGGCAGGGCTACACACTGATGGTTGTCATTTTATTAGACACGGACAGAAATGTGTGGAACAATCAGTTTTATTTTAGAGGCCTGCTCTGCCTTTAAAGCTTTTTTTAAATGCATGGAAAGACTGATGGAACGGCATGAAGGAACTCAACAAACCAACCATGGAAGTTTGGTTTGGTACGTGCATTCTCTTGGTTTTGTTTTGGACATTTCAAACGATACAAGATGTTGGTGCCCATCTATAGCAAATTTTAGTTTCTTAATCAGCTTTTGACATTCCTGCACCGTGCTCTTCTGACTTCATTCTTTTGTCCTCATTAACCGATGTTTTGATTTCTTCTGTGGCACGTTTACTCGTTGGTACTATCCCCCACCCCCTTAAAGGAAGCCCTTTGATCCCCAAGTCTCTCCAGAAAGAGGATAGTTACACGGAGGTTGCACTTGTCTTTGTTAATGTCCTTCAGGGATTTGAAACCTTTGTACATAGAACTAGAGATTTTGCAACTCAAATAAGCAACTGTGGCTGAAGTTTCAACAAGCAAGCATCATTCCAAATAAAAGCTCCACACACACCCACAGGGGCTGGTTTTGGCACTTCCTCTGCCATAATGGAAGTGGTGGGGGGGGATTGGCTGCTCCAGCTTCAACCTGGAGGATGAGTGAGACTGAACTCTGCCACCCGGTGGCTGATTAGGAGTACTGCACCGCCGCATCCAGCTGCTGCTCAGTGCCAACTCCCCACCTGTTCCACCGTCTCTTTATTTAATCTGGAGTTCTGTCACACACGTCCCAAACCCTCACAACTAGTCCAGTTGCCTATTTTCGCAATAAACTAAAAGAAAAAAAAGATGTGTATAAGTAAATGGTGAGATATTTTTTAAAAACTATTTATTTCATGAAAACTATAGGAAAAGAAAAAAGTAAACAACTTCTCATTAGTTATTGTGACTGTGACAGAAAATAGTCTTATACTGAGGTGATTGTGTTTGTCAATTAGAGATGTTTTTATTTGTTTTGTCAATACTATTATAATTATTCTTAATATTATTCAAAGGTTTTGAATTATTATTTGAAACACAGTTGTCACCTCTCCCCTCCCTCCTTACTTGAACAGTGCTGCTCTGTTTGGGCTGCTGATGGCGACAAAAAAAAAGAAAACAAAAAAATACTGTTTTGCAATAAAAGGGTAAGTGATGAGCTTGTTTTTCTTTTTTCTTTTTTGCACCAAAACTTCTTGATCTCACACGTTCAGCCATGCTGACTGTTCTTCCTAATGACAAAATTGAGTTTTGTCTGTTTTATTTTTTTTTCTTTTCATTGACAGATTTAATAAAACTGTAGATTAATGGAGCCTGGGCTGTGGATGTGTGACTTTAAAGCTTTATAATTTAGCTTGGACTTTATGAGAGGTGAAGTTAGAAGCAGAAATGAGAACTAGTCAGAGTGAACATAGATTTGCCTTTATTTCTGTTGTTACTACTGATTTACCAAAGTTCAAAACCAAAGGTCAGCTAAGTGTAACATCAGTGGAGTGGAAAATAAATTCAAATCATTGATGAATTAAAAATAAACAATGGTAAAAGACAACTAGGAAATAAAATGAGACATTATGTTCCTGCACTTTTTTATCTTAAAAATCATTTCGTATATTCTCTGATCCTAATCAGTACAGAAGGTGCTTCTTGTACTGATTCTGCTGTGGTGAGTGTTGAGCTAAAACAAGTGAAATTTTTCGACTGTCAGACGATAAAAACTGAAGTGAAGGTGATGAAACCTAAAATAAAAACACGATGAGGTATTAAAGTTCTCAGCGCTGCTGAAATGTAAAGAGGAAAAACAATCCTGTGAACTACAGCGGAAAAAGTGCCTGCAAACCCAAAATCACTAAAGAGACATTTCAAACATTTTAAAACTGGGTTCTGTTCAAACATGTGGAGTAATTATCTCACATGTTGACAGCTCTTTGTATGACCCTAAAATGGAGAAAGGTTCAATAATCCTGAAAAATTTTCAAGCAAGTCCTGGTATGGATTAGCCTGGCCCTTGACTTCCGTAGCTCCGCTCAATTCTAGTTTCCCTTCACTGCTCCATCTGGGACTTCTCCCATTGACAAGGATTTCACTGGCAGATTTTTAGCCGGGCCAATCAGAACAGAAGGAGGAGTTTTGAATGACGTCGATGTTCTGCGCAGTGTCTGCTAGTTATTTTAGCATACGGCAGTGGAGGAAGTGAATGAAGCCAGTCTGTGTTGATAAGGCTTCCAAATTAAAATAAATATGTCTGACAAAGCAGCAGCTCTCATTTACAGTCGTCTCGTTGACTCGGTACTTTTCACCTCTCAGTAG